AGAGGATCATCCGCTCTCGGTATTATGAGAGGAATATCATGTGTATTCTTGCTCAGACAAATCCTTAGCTAAGGTCATTCGGATTAAGAGAAGAGTTCTCCGGGAGAATCCGATTAGAGCGAGACTAAAGGAGAAACCATATGAGCCTGATAGTACCATGCCCAATATATGGTCTTTGGGATATTAGATGGTTGAGGGACTATAGGTACACAGTAACTGAGGATAGGTAGGTCTAAAGGATTAGATTCCCCTGTATCGTTTGAGGACTGTGGCGTAGTGACCTAGTACGTTCGTAGTCGATGAGTCGAGTGAATTATTATGAAGATAATAATTCACTAAACTAGAAGGAGTTTTGATATATATGACTCATGGCCAGCTCGATATTGGGCCTAGGGTGTCACACACATATGGTAGGTGTTGCGACGAGTATATATTCGGATATGAGATATCCACTAGAGCCCCTTTCTTATTAGATATCCAATAAGTCTCTGAATTATTGGATCCTATGGATGAGATCCAATAAGAGCTAATAAGAGATTATTGGGTAGAGACTCACTAATCTAAGAGGCTTGGGTAATTGGATGGAAATCTAATACCGAATAGGGTATGATCCATTAGGGTTAATTGGGGGGCCTCTATAAATAGGAGGGAACTAAAGGCCCATAGGCTGAGGCTTCTAAGTTGCCACCTCCTATTCCTCTCTCCCCTTCTTCTTCTCAAATAGTAGACCTAGAGATTTGAAGAGCGTCGTTGCAGCCCTGCTATGTGTATCACCACTAAAGAGGACGACGCTTAATCTCTTTCATCATCTCCAACAAATCTATAGGGATTCAGGAATATATGATCTCTCTATGTATCACAACTATCTCACACATAGTTTTATGTGTCGGTGGGTTTTGCACATCAATCTTTGCACAATCATGAACACCTTTTGGAAAATTTAAGATTTTTATTTTTTTCTATTCTTTCACTGCATATGTGATGTCACCCCTAGATTTTCCAATAGCACCCGATAGTGTCGACACTCATGCTTGACCATGTCGACATATAGCGCACCCCTACACCCTGCCATGTCGGCCATTATGTGCCATGTCGACCATTATGTGCCACCATGTTGCCCATGTTGATGCCATGCGACTAACACATTAGCTCAATTTTGGCATTTTGGCTCCACCTAGCTGATGTGCTGACTTTATGTGGCTAATGCATCAGTTCTACATAAAGGACATGTCAACTCCACGTGCCCAATCGACAGAGCCACATGGTTGACATCTTGTCTCCACATGGTCAATACGGTAGAGCCATCTAGTCGACACCTCCGCTCTACGTAGTCGACTCAATAAGGCCACACGTTCCACCCCTCAACACCACTTCGACATCATGCAGACACTCCATGGAGTGGAGCCAACTAGCCATGCTTGATTTGTGCCACGTGTTAAACGATTATACAATCTTGGGTTTGATGTTTTGTGGGCAATAGTTATAGTCAAATTCCACACCTCATTACTACATGAACAATGCAATGAGCGGGAGCCAGTCTCAAATACCCATTATAAAATGACATTTTAAGTCTGACTTGTCCAACTTATCGAGTGATAAATTTCAGAGAGACATTGTCTGGAGTGCCCCTAACATAATTTTATATGGTTTGGACGATATTTGAAAGAGTTCAGATCAACTTTAAAAAATAACCAAATTGGATCCAACTCAACTCCTCGCTCTAATAATAAAAAATTTAACTAATAGAAACTAATAAAAAAATCTCATAAATAAATAATAATAATAAATAAACTAGAAACCAATGCAAGATTAATGTAGGACAACAATTTATGTCTATATTCATGAATAAAATAATATCCTCACTATTGAGGAGAAACAAATATAAGAAATATCCTACTATCAAATTAACCTAAACTCAAACCCTAATCTCTTATATCTCCTATAAATTGTAAGGAACTCTTCTTATAATCCTCTCTAAATCCATACGAAAAATCTTAAAAACATCCAAAATAATTTTTTAGCTCTTTCTTATCATCTTCTTATCAAATATGTGAGATAGATAAGATATCTATAAAAATAAATCTTAATTTATTAAGGACTTCTTTTCCTACTTGATAATCTAATCTTATTATATATATATATATATATATATATATATATATATATATATATATATATCACATCAAAGATATCTTGTAGTCATCACATGAGGGGTAAATGTCAATCGACTAGGCCTGTGTACATCCTATTTATGCCATGGTTCTTCCTGTATGTACTTCAGGTTTGGTAATCCAATTAATTGCGTCCGAGATTAGAGTTGGCCTTAATTTCCTACCCATCATGTTCCCTTGATGTAGATTAGCCAAGACAAGTAGTAGTAGCTGGCAACCGAATCTTGAGTTAGTGAAATTGATTCTTCTCTTCAACTGTTGGCAACCTCTCTATGAACAACGATATAGTTAATTGTGTATAGTTCAGAATAAACAAGGCAAAGAGTATAAGTTACCATTACAATATGATCAAAGAAAGATCGAGCCTCAAGTTGCAGTGGAGGATATCAATGGGAGGTCAACTGCGAAAAGGCATGTGAGATATGGTATAGCAAAAACATGCTACAATCTTCCTACTAGGATTTTTTTATTGAGATATCTAAATTAATTTATGAGCGTGAGTTAAATTTGTCATGATTAATATAACAAATAGCGCAATATGTTAAATTACGGACCGATCTAATATAAGCTATGATAAATCTCTTTTTCAATCATCTTAATTTTTTTTAATGTATAATTTAATCATCTCCTCTTATGAGTCAAACTCTTATCATTTCGGATCCTAGTTTTGGAACAAATAGTTTAGATTCTACAAAATTTAAAAATAAAATTGAATTAGTTCTAAACGGTTTCGTGAACCACCTTTTATATTTTTATATTTTTAATTTTTTTATTAATATTTAATATTTTTTATTTTTAAGTTTTGATTTGAAATCAAATTGGAACCGTTAGTTCTAGTTTTGATTCTATGTTCTAGGAATTGAACCGTAAAATTGAGGTGCGAGAAGTCAATTCGGGTTCAATTCGAAACTATAAAATTAGACTTCTTCTTTCACTTTGTTACACTATCATCTTTTTTTTTTTTCAACTTTTGATTTTTTTTTTTTTCGAGCATTGGTTCTGTTGAGATTTGTAAATCGATTAATGAGTTTGGGATAAATTGATCAAGATAAATATATATAAGTTTTGTATCAATCCATCGTACGTGATCGATAAAATTAATTTTAAATTTCTTTTACGGTGTTCATCTTTCAAACAAATTTTCTCTCAACATTTTTTATCGCCTCAATTGACAAAGTTCGTATTCTGCACAGCCTGGACAACGCACTCTAGTCCAAGTGAAGCAGAACAAACACAATTAGGTTCAAGTCGATTCCGCTGAAAGCTGGAACAGATGCACCAACCACACATTGAAAATGGCTGTGCCTGACACACCCACTGAAAGGCAGGTGGTTGAGACCGCAATATGTTGCAGTGACAATGATGGTTCAACTGCAACACCAAGAAGGGGTTGCACAACCACCATCATGATGTCCCCAAGCTTCCATCTCGAGAACTCACACACATATGTCCCTGCCACCGACCTCCAACTGCTACGGCTGCTTCGCCGAAATGCACTAAAAGCCTGAATACCATGCCTTCAACGCACAGCGATCCACCTTTCTTCAAATCAAAGTAACATTTCTTGTTCCTCTCGCAAGGAGTTGCAGTCTAGTTAAGCAAGCGGATGTTGTGCTCTCCCGTCTCTATCCTGATACTTTTATTCAACTTTTTATTATTGAAATAATAAATAAAAATTTATATTAAAAATATTCATGTATGTGATGAAAAAAAGATGGACAATAATCACATATCATTAATAATTAAA